CCTCAGGTAAATATTTTCCCCCTATAAGACACAATGTTTAAAATAAAGAATGTTCAAAGCAGTATGAATTTGTGTTTAACTTTTATGCTAAAAATCGTTCTTCTTTTCTTTTGCATGGAATCCAGTGCAATTACCATCTCAATAGATGACAGTTTCCTGTTTTTGATATGTAGACAAATAAAGACCCAGGAGCTTCTGTAATTTTTGTGTAGAGCTCCTAGAAGCAGAGAAGTCCTCCTCGTTCATCCACACATATTTGAATCTTGCATGTGCGAGTGCTGTTGCAGGTGGTGGAGATAAGCAATGAGCAAGACGACAAGGTCCCGGTCCTCATGGAGCCCTCAGTCTAGTGAGAAATGAACAAAAAGACACGTGCCACTGGATAAGAGTCTATAGATACTTAAAGGGGGAATGGGTTAGAGAGGGTGGCCCAGAGGGACACACTTAGGAGGTGACATTTTAAAGCTCAGCTCTGATCACACTCAGCCTTGCAGAGGGAGGAGAGCAGGTGTAAAGCTCCTAAGGAAGAAGTGAGCTTGCACATTTGAGAAACGGCAAAAGGACCTAGTGTGAAGCTGCTGGTAAGAGAAAATCGGAGAGGCAGGCAGGAGGCAGAGCATGTAGGTAGGTCCTTGTAAGCCCCAGTGGGAATGTGGAGTGCTCTGTGACAGCTCTGGTCACAACTCCAGCTGCCTCAGCTCAGTCTTTAAATACTCACAGTTTTGTCCTGGGCCCCTTTCTCTTTATCTACTAGTAAACATTCTTTAGATCATCCCACCTAGGCCCCTGGCTTTGAAAACTATATGTCAATTACTCATAACTCTACATCTCCACCCCTGACATAATCCCTTCTCTAGCTCCAGACTCTACGCAAGTCCTCCACTGCCCCTCTAATGGGCATCTCAAACCTAACATGGTTGAACACTTGCCCAGTAGCTTAAGCAACAATCTGGGGCTTATTCTTGATTTCTCTATTTCAGTCATAACCACCCTCAATCCCACCCATCAACTCTCTGCAAAACACATCTTGAACCCGTCCACTTCCCTCCATGCCCACTCCTACCACTCATTCGAGGCCAGCAGCACCATTCACCTGGACTCCTGCAGTAACCTCTTACTTGTCCTTGCTTCCAGTCCTGCCCTTCCACAGTCACTGACTCAGCAGCCAAAGCGATCTTTTTAAAACATAAGTCAGATACTGTTACTTCCCTGCTTAAAGTCCTCTAGTAGCTTCCCATTTCACTCAGGATAAAAACAAAAACAAACCAAATTCAACAGGAAATCTCATCAAGTTTTCACAGTGGTAGTTGTTAATGGAGAAATAATACAAGTCAGCTTTGAAAACAATGCATGAATCTTTTTTTAAATTAAAAAAGCAACAGTACCACAGAAAAGGAGCAGACTTGCTGAAATATAGAGGAGAATAGAAACCCTTCCTAAAGCAGCTCTCAAGAAAGTACAAGTTCACATACTTGAGGTATGAGCACTAGAATTCTGGGGCTATAGTCTCAGGAACAGTCGCAAGGGAGACAAGGTTTCTATCACTACATCCCCAACTTTAACCACATCCCTGGTTTAACCACAGTAGCTCAGTTTTTATCTGTTTACCTATTGGAGTTCTCTAGGAAATGTCAATACCAGATCCAATCCAAACCATGGCTACATTAGATAGTCAAGAATATACATTAGCCCTGGCCAGTGTGGCTCAGTTGTTGGGCGTCGCCCCATGCATCGAAAGGTTGCTGGTTCATTTCCTCAGGTTTCAGGCTCCGTCCTCAGTGAGGGGCACGCAGGAGGTAGTCAATCGATGTTTTGCTCTCACATCGATGTTTCTCTTGCTCCCTTCCTCTCTCTTTGAAAAATCAATGATAATAATAATAACAAAGATTATCCATTAGATATTCAACTATTTAAGAGAATGGATTGCCACCGAGTCTGTGTAAAACGGGGATGCCCAATAGAATTAGAAAATGTTAGATGTGTAAAGACTCTCATCTAGGAAATACGGGCAGTGTTAGTTATTCTCTGAGAGGGAGAAATGTCCACTTAACTCCGAAATGAAATGCCACCAACTGGATTGTGCTCTCACCTGTGTGTTCTGGATTCATTAATACAGATTTATTTTTCCTGTTTTCCAACAACTTTCTTGTGAATTCTTTTTACTTCCCTCAAGCCCTGTTGGTTATTATAAACTAGACTCTAACCCAGACGCTGTAACTTAGCCTGCAGGCTGAATTGTGCTTTCACATGTGTGCTATTTGTCCTTGACAAGGTTTGAGGTTATTTTTCCTGTTTGTTTTGCTTTTAAACAAATTAGTTGTGACATTTAAAATTAAAACCTGCATTTCCAGCTTCTCTTTAAAAATTGGCGCTTTTGACAACACTGAGCCCACATTGTTGGAGGAAGTTGAGTGGCTCCCTCTGCTGGCGGCTCCACCCTTTATCAGGGCTGTACTCTGGTTTGCTCTATGCTCACCACCCGTCTCCCTGACACCAAGACAAAGGGTCAGCTATCAGTTATCAACATGCTTGCATGGTTGGTTTCTCTTATTTTGACCCATTTTACTCACTTATCTGCCTGCCCCTGTAACTGTTTGAGCTTGGGACCCCCCAATTCTAACCTTTGCTTCTCAGCTCATTTACTGGATTCTAGCTTCTTTCTCTATGATGTTTCCTATCACTCATTTCCTGCTGCTGGGAGTGTGAAGTGTCTGGGCGAGCTGTTGAATAGGATCCCAAATCATCGTTTTGGCAGAGAGACAGTGTGATGCTTACTTCCATCGGCCTCCAGAAAACCTGGCTGGGAGCTTCTGAGTCTGGATTTAGCCATAGGCGACAGGCTTTCTATTCATTCGTATTGCAGCTAAAGGCTTATAAATCCTTTTTAGAATAACATTTGACTTCTTCCTGGCTCCCCACCTCAAAGCAGTAGCCAATATTTGGTTCTATATCACCTTCAGGCTCTATTACTACCTACCCGGATTCTCGCAGAAGCTTCTTAACTGGTCTAACTGTAGTCACCGCCCTAACCAACACATTCGAACACAGCTATCTTTCTGAGTTAGATTTAATTATATCATGCACCACAGCTACCCAAATAGAAATCATACACTTAGATATACTTAGAATGAATATGCATAGAATCAAATGCAGATTTAGCCTAACATCCAATACCTACCCAAACCCTTCGTAGCCTAGTCCCCATCTTTTCTCTCACTGGACCAAGCACGCACTGGAATACCGGTCTCTGTACCTGTGCTCTCTCCCTTCCAAGCCATTGCTCAGGTTTGTAAAGACCCATCCATTGTTTGTCTCCTCAGATGCCAGCTCTCTGTGACACCTTTCCAGGTCCTTCCAGATTAAACAAACCTTTCCTTCCTCTGTTCTCTTGGATGTTCTCCCCAGCTCTTACTGGAGGCTGCCTTCAGCTGCGTTGCTGGTGTGTTTCTCATGCCCTAGATTTGAGCCCATGGTGGGCAGGGACTATTACTTGCTTGTCTTTTTATTTCCTGCAGCCAGCAGAGAGTTTAGTTCAAGGTTAACTGAAACACGCAGAAAATTCATTTCTTTAAACAACTTGATGACTTGTCCTTAAAGATCTGGGGCTCAATGTGACCTTCAATGTAGAATTCTAAACCTCTTCCCCCCACCCCCAGACAAAATTAGTTTGCTCATTTTCAAGGAATAATTTATGGGTATGAAGTTTAAAAAATACTTATTAGGAAGCATACTATATTACCTATACTATAATAATAATGAAACAACCAGACAAATTCAGAATGTGGAACATTCTATCAGACAATGGGCTTGGACTGTAAAAAAAAAGGGCCGTTGTTATAAAAAGCCAACTAACCAACCAAAACGACAAGAAGAGTGTTCTATATTTTTAAAAATATACAACCAGAGACAATACATGAACATTCATTGGATCCTTGATCAGGAAAAAAAAAAAAAAGAAAGAAAGATCAGCCCTGGCTGATATGGCTCAGTGGATAGAGCATTGTCTTGCACACCTAAGGGTCTTGGGTTGGATTCCCAGTCAAGGGCATGTACCTGGATTGCAGGTTCAATTCCCGGCCCTGGTCCAGGAATTGAACCAGAAGACAACCAATTGATGTTTCTCTCTCAGTTCTCTCTCTCTCTCTCTCTCTCTATCTCTATCTATCTATCTATCTCTCTCTTTCTCTGTCCCTTCCACTCTCTCTAAAAAAAAAAAAATCAATGGGAAAAATATCCTCAGGTGAGGATGAACAACAACAATAAAAAGAAAGCAAAACAAAAAATCATAAAAAAATAAAAGATATTTTTGGACAGTGGTGGAAATTATATATGAGCTATCAGTATCAAATTGATGTTGCATTTTTGGGTATGATAATCATAATATTATGATTATGTGGGAGGGCATCCTTATTTGTGAGGAGACATATACAGAATTATTTCTGAGTGAAATGTCAAGATGTCAGCAACTTATTTTCAAATGGCTCAGCCAACAAAGTATATCAATATATCCAGAAAGAAAAGGCAAGAGTGGGAAAATATTAGCAATTAGTAAATCTAGATGAAGAGGATGAGGCATTTCATGGTACTATCCTTTCAGTTTTCTAGAGGTTAAAAACTTTTTCAAAATAAAAAGTTTGGGAAAAAGGAAAAAAGAAAGGGGGCTGAGAGAACTGGTTTAATTTCCTAATTGTATTTTTAGGCTATCATTAAGTAAATGAATAGTTAAGCTGTGAGAACCAAACATTTATTTGGGTTTCACGCTTTATATTTGAGAGTAAAACCAGCTGGTAATGAAACATAAACTCGCTTGCAAAAATGATCAAATCAGAAATGCAGTTTTATTGCTCATAAGAGGGACTTCTCTTACTTTACGGTTTATACTTTTCAGAGAGAATAAACTCCTTGGGACATAAACTAGATGTGTATCAAGCAGCATAAGTTTTTGCTGTGAGTGAATTTAAAAATACTGAACAAATCCTAATTTTTCGCTGTCACAAACCTGTCTCAATGATCTGCTCTGCTGGGTATCTGTCAAAGTGATTGTGCTGATTTGCCCCTTTCTCTGGGTGGAAAACCCCGCCCTGGATCTTTGCTTGGTTGTGAGGAAACCCATCTGATAGAGGGGGAGACAGAGGTGCATTGGTGTGACCGGACAGCTAGGAGATAAGACTCTGCATTTATTGCCCGTTTATGTAACTACATGTGTCACTGAGGACAAAGGTCCTTAAAACAAAGGCGAGAGGCAGAGGAGAAACACTTCCCCACAGTAAGATCGATGGACTTGCCACCACTTCCCTCTTCGGACATTTTTTTCCCCTGCGTGGTTGAATGTCCTTCTGGTTTTACAATCATTTGGAGAACTTAACCATCTCTCTGGGTCTCTGGGCACAACTCGATGCTGAAGACACACTTCCCTCCAGCGAAAAGAAAATGAAGATTTTTCGGGAGCACTCCTAGCCTGGACTCACCGGGACAGCTGGACTCCCACTCCTGACAGCCCTGTCGGGGAGGAGGCAGCCCGGCCAGCACCATGGAGGTGGAGGGCGAGAGCGAGGCCTTGCAGCAGTTTTTCGAAGGTAAGAGGCCAGTTGCCAACACGGAGTTCCTGCCCCTGAGAAAGGGCACCGCTCACTGCCAGGGAGGCACCTTCTGCGACTCACTCACACTTGGCCTTGGAAGAAATGCTGTCGTCTTGACGGCCCTAACATTGAAGTGGAGGTTTATTTGCTGTGTTTGCTGTAAAAATCAATGGTATAGGTAGTGATTTAAAAGCAAAAGCAGGGTTTCCTTCTCATAGCCTAGTTTTAAAAAAATCAAGGATCAGCTCATCTGTTACTAGTATTTGTGTCCTGTGCTAGACCTTATTCCTTCTGATTCCTTTAAACATTAAACAGCCTGAAAGAGCAGAGGGAGCCCTCTCCCCTCATTCCCATCTTTATTTTTCACAGCAATTTAAAAAGGTGTAACCGGATAATGATTTGCTTTTGAATTAAATATCTTTTTCTCCGAGGGAGAGGTGCACTGTAGGACATGGCTAGGCAGATTTCATTCCTCCCCAAACCCTAAAAACAGCAGCAGCGTCTCACCTTTAGTTGGGGTGATATTCTGACGGCGGGTCTGTTGAAAATGTCAGTAAGGACTGACTCCACGTCAGAGCGGCTTTAGTTTCTTACCAGTTAGCCACGCGCAGACTTCTGTGAAGGGAACGTGGCCACAGCTTTTACACATTCCAGGGCGATTCCCAGGCGGGAGTGTGAGAAGAATGGAGGGCCGACCTGCTCATTCACAGAAGCCCGAGGGCAATTAGCAGCATATTGAGGAAGTGCTTTTGGAGTTTCTTGGGATTAGTAAAGTGTCTGACAAGTGCTAGATGTTTACAGGTCGAATGGAACTGACCCAAGGCCGGACAGTGATGAACACTGAAGAGCAGTCAGACCAAAGAAATAGTGAGATTCTAGGCCCCTAACAGGAGTCAACACAATACCGTAGTTTCTTGGTAGTGGCCTGGATTTTGCCAGAGTGGTGAGAAGAAATGTAAGACCAAGAGATTATTGAGTTATCTCAGCCTGTGATCCAACCCATCCAGTGTTCTGTCTCTGACAGTGTCCAAGTCAGGGTGCCCACCTGGGTCATGCTTGGCACACAGTGGGCACCCTAATGTTGCTGGATTGTTATTGCCTGATTTTACATCCTATGTAACTTTCATTCCAGCAGTAGATAGCAAGCTCCAGGCTACAGTTACATCTGCTTTATTTTAGAGAAACCACAATTCATTTTACAAATGCAAAGAGTCTACTTGATTTCTTTCCTGATCTGGAGAAGACCTGAAAAGTTTATCTGGTCTACCTTCCTTTTTATGAAAGTGCTATTATACCCAGGATCTTATACTGTGCTTGTCTGTACTATTTTCAGAAGTTTCTGGGGATATAGTTTCCATGAGTTCCCTGTGTAGCTTATTACAATATCTGATTATTATAATAGTATCTTTCTTAACCCAAATCAAACTCTGTTGTTCCATGAAGCCTTTTTTTATGAGGGCAGGGGAGTCATTTTTCCCTGGAAAGAGAATAAAATGGTCAGTGTTTTCCTTGTATTATATTTGAGTGGATAGATGGAGAAAATGGTAGACTTTCGGCATAAAAATGGAGGCAATAGATGATGTGATCCCCATCACCTGAAAATTATACAAATAGTTGTCAATTTTTATTACCTACTATTCAGCAAATATTGATCACCTACTGTGTGCCAAGTCCAATAATCACCTCTTTGAAGCTTTTTCCTTAGATTGTAATGATTTTCTTTCTCAAGTATTTCTTAGAATGAGGACAGCAAAACTAGAATGATATTCTGATGAGAAGGGCCAGTTTGCATGTCGTGTTCCTGTAGATATGTCAGTTTCTAAATAATTGCAATCTTGTATGAAGAATTAAGATCTGACAATCAAGAAAAGTTTTGGCAATTTGTTACCCACTTGAAAGCTGTTTTGTTTTTTTTTTCATTTCCTCAGACTCTTTGTTCTAAGAAACTAAGCTCTAAATAATGTATTTTTCCTTATGAACACTTTTAAAAAATATATATTTTATTGATTTTTTTACAGAGAGGAAGGGAGAGGGATAGAGAATTAGAAACATCGATGAGAGAGAAACATCTATCAGCTGCCTCCTGCACACCTCCTACTGGGGATGTGCCCGCAACCAAGGTACATGCCCTTGACCGGAATCAAACCTTGGACCTTTCAGTCCACAGGCTGACGCTCTATCCACTGAACCAAACCGGTTAGGGCTTTTAAAACTATCTGAATTGCCCTGGCAGACACCAAGGTTGCAGGTTTGATCCCCGGTCAGAGCACATACAAGAATCAACCAATGAATGCATACATAAGTGAAACAAAAAGTTGATGTCTCTCTCTCTCACCTTCCTCTCTCTCTAAAATCAATCAATCAATCAAATTTTTAAAAATATCTGCATTGACAATACCATCCTAAATTAATGGCCTTAATTGTCAAAGCCATTAAGATCTTAGTTTTTATTTTAAAGTTTTAAATATGACCTTACATTCTCAATTTGCTTTCTTATGGGTATTTCCTTTGGACTACTTTGGTATCAGAGGACTCATCTTTTATTCCCATGCTTTTTAGAATAGTTTAAAAACTGCCTTGAGAAGAGTCTTTTGTTATTCATTATATTTGATCTTGAAAGAGGAAATTTCCTGAATTGTTGAGAAGCTATTTAGCTCATTCTCTTTGTAATGTCCTGAAGTAGGTTTTCAAATGTTTCTTGACTGATCATGAAAGCAAAAAAGGAGATTCCTGCCCTGAGAGGAGTGTGAAGAACTACTAGAGAGGCTTCAGGGAGGAAAGCAGAATTGTTGAGTAGTAGAGAGATGCAGCTTGGAAAAGTGCCTATGTGGTGTCTGTGTATAGTAGACACTCAATAATATTTATAGAATAAGTCAGTGGTCGGCAAATTGAGGCTCAGCAAACTGCGGCTCACGAGCCACATGCGGCTCTTTGGCCCCTTGAGTGTGGCTCTTCCACAAAATACCGACTTCTGCGCATGGGCCACGAAGTGCGCCCGCACGTGGTATTTTGTGGAAGAGCCACACTCAAGGGGCCAAAGAGCCACATGTGGCTTGTGAGCCGCAGTTTGCAGACCACGGGAATAAGTGAATGAAAGAATTGTGCAAAGGACTATTCTATGCAACTAATAGCTATTAAACTTAAACTCTAGATGCAGAGAACCAGGCAAGTCAAATATAGGAAGAGGAAAACTTGTGCAGTAGCAGAAAAGTCCAGTGAATAGAACAAAAAGAGGCTGTTGAGACCTAGTATTGCGAGTGGGAAGCCTCAGGTTCCATCATTATCAGAAATAAAATAGTAAATGCCTTAAGTGGGCCCTGTATGTTATTTCTGCAGGTGTGAAGCCAGCTCTGATTGGTTGATGTTCCTGAATCCCTGTGAGAGCGATCAGAAGCTCTGAACAGTGAAACAGTACCAGGATTGGCCATGGGCAAGATTGTCTTGTGGATAAAGGATATCTTTGGCCTCAGACCAGTCTCTCAATTCTTCACCTTCCCTTCACTTTGGGACCAGCACTTTCTTACCCTCTCAGACAACCAGCACCTTTATGGTCTCTTCCTTCTGTCTCAGTAAAACCTGAGCTTGCTCAGAAGGTACAAATAGCAAGTGGCCTCCCACCTTACATTTCTATAGAGTCTTGTATTCCAGGCGCTTTCATAGAATGCAAAGCTGTTTTGATTAAATGAGTCAAGAAAAGTTACCTTCTCTAAGGGTAGGTTTGGTTGATCTCTAATGGTAGATTTTTATTTTATTTTTTTGATTAAATAATAGTTTATCTAACATTTAGTGTGGCCCAAAATTGGCCACGATAAAGTCAGAAAACATTTTAGCCAGAAGACTTAAAAAGACAAACACAACAAACTGACAGTACCACCTGGGTAACTCTCAGCCCTGAGGTTTGATAATGTCAATTTTTATTCTATTGTTGCCCATTATTTTCATGTGTCATGCCGGACGTAATCGGATGGTGGCATTTTAGACGTCATGTTGCATCCGAGCATCTCCGAAATGATCTCGAGGCAGAAGCTCCTTGTTTATTAGTGAGGCTGCCTCTGCTTCTGTGTGGAGACAGCATGGACTTTCCCAGGAGACTGAGAACGAGAACATGCCAAGGACAAGCCTGCCAGATCATGCAAGCGGTTTAGGATTATCTGAACATTTCTCTCTGATGTGCGCAGGTGGTTAGAAACTACGTTGCCATGGCACAAAGCACCACAACAAAGGTGTGGGCTTGGTGCCACTGAGAAGCAATCCCTTTTCTTCTTTCATGCTGGGATCCCCAAGGAGAAGGCGATTTAATTAGAATTTAACATGTGCCCTAAGTAGGTCAGAGCTAAACCCCGTCCCCTGCAAACACCCTGCATTGGAGACCTGCCAGGATTATCACCATCTCTAGGGAATCTTGGAACCAAACCACCATAACAGACCCTCTGGAAGGAGGCTCCTGAGAGGAGGCTCCAACAACTTCTTTGGGGGTACTGATGTTGTCATCTTTTCAATTTCAGAGTGAGAATTAGGTTTCTGGAAGATTCCACAAGATCTTGGAAGCTACACTTTCAACATATAAGCAATTTTGGAAAATATAGATAACTTAAAACAAGAGGATTGTTTTCACTGTAATATGACCATCTATATATATAAAGAGCCAGGGGCCGTCACATCCGAAACAACCGAACGAACGACTGAACAGGCTGAGTGGGGCCACCAGGCCAGCAGGGGGGTTAGTGAGGGACAACCAAATGACTAAACACCAAGCTGCGTGGGTTGACCAGGCCGGCAGTGAAGACAGCATGTGTCATGCCGGATGTAATTGGGTGGTGGGGTACCAGGCTGGCAGAGGGGGGCCGTATGGGGTGACCACGCTGGTGGGGGGGGCAGTTGGGGGCGACCAGGCTGGCCGGGAGAGGGGCAGTTGGGGGCCACCAGGCCGGCAGGGGGAGCAGTTAGGAGCCAGCAGTCCCAGATTGTGAAAGGGATGTCTGACTGCCAGTTTAGGC